GTAACCTCCGGCAACAGTCGTCTGTACAACTCTAAAGCACCAGCGATGGTCCAAGTAGTGGTAATCTTGCGATAGGACGGTTGGCAGTAGTACTGGTTCGAAAACCGTCCGATGACCGGTTCTGTGACGACGACGGTCTTTTCGACCTTTTCCGTCTTAACGTCTACTTGGACCGCGTTTTTGTCCGGAATGGCTTTTGCGAAAAACACAGTGTTTTTCAACTTTGGCCTTTCCACTGGTACGACCGCTACCGGCCCCGTTGTCCGCGCAATTAATCGCTTTAGACCTTTGCCAGCGGTGATCAACCACTTGTTCGTGTGGCTTAACATCGACGGCGCGTCCAGTGTGATGGCCCGCGCAGCGCCAATGTTTTCCGCTTCGGGAGCTACGGTCGGGTAAACGGTCAACGACTGCACGTCCGTTATAATGGCCCACGTATCACCGGCGTTTTTCGTTTCGGGCAATTTGACAGGTTGAGTGATCGTCGGCGCACAATCCAACGAGGCCTTCATCAGTGGTTGGCCGCTCAGTTCCAGGGCAACACCGGCTGTCCGGCCCCGGCCCATTTTGTGGTGGATCCGTCGGAAGGGGTGCTTCAAAAATTTCCCAACGGCCCGGGCAATCCCGACGATTGAGTTATTTTCCTCTGCGTTCACGATAGCTGTGGTTTCAACCGTGCACGGTTCTACCACACGCTCGTTCACTTCGCTTTTAATTGGCTGACACCGACGGTGCCAAACTTTCATGCATTCTGCAAAAGAAACAAAAATAATAATCGTCAGTTTAATTGGTTTAAAAACTTTGAGCACGTGCGATAACAACTGTGTATACATACTGATGCAGCCCACAGCCTTTGACCATGGCCACTTCAACTGTTTGCATTTACAGCATTTGTGGGTCAACTTCAATATTTTTACCAAAACGTGTTCGCATGTATTTCTAAAAATGAAAACACGGAAAGGGTGTTCAGTTAGATTAGATAACTACTTCACATCGTTATGAATACAGTACACAATTAACACAACTGAGACGCATCCTTGTGAACGTAGTAGTTATATTCATTTTAAATTATTTTTAATTACAATTTTTTTTTTTTTTTTTTTTTTTTTCAGGATGGCAAAATAAATTTTGTATAAAACTATAATTGCTATTATTAGAAGTACGACTATTTTTAAGTTTTCTATGAGTGATACAACTTATACTTAAACTGCATTTTTTTTTGCAATTTCGTCACTTTTACAATGTTATAAAAATATAATTATTAATGAATCGTAAAACAAACCTCAGGATCTTAAAGAGAAATCCTCAATTAGTAAATTAAAATGTTTTCCTTCGTATTTTTAGTACTAAAAAATACGTCTATCCATTTATGACTCAGTGTATATACGACGTCCCAAAAATAAGTGTACACACGAAGGGTAAGTTGTGTAATTTTATGTGTAGTTTATGTTTTTAGTTATATTTACGTGGTTAATATAAAATTTTATTCGCTAGTTCGAATTATGCTCTTTCCCCGTGTAATATGGCCAACGGGTAAATGCGACAGTTATTTATGTATAAAATGCTACTTAAAAGCATTTGATCTATTTAATTATTACTATATTTTTTCATATTCTATTATTATTTATTTCTAAATACAAAATGGTGTTAAGTATCCATTTTAAACAAATATATAAAAAAAAAATTGAGAAGATCTCAACTTATATTTGGAATTACGTTTATTCAGTACAAACTAAAAAAGTAATTTAATGTCTGATAAAAATATTTAAAAATTATTAAGTAGGTACTCACTTAAAAGCATTTGATTTACATAATTATTATTATATGTTTTTCATATTTTATTATTATTTAATTTCTAAGTATAAAATTTGTTAACTTTTAGTTCTTTACATAGGTGTATAAAAAAAAAAAAAAATAAATAAAAAAAAATATAAGATATTATTAATATTTGAAAATATTTGTATTGTTGTTTTATCAAAACAATTTAAATCTTAAAATTTTTTTAAGCATTTTTAAACAGTCCGTTTTGCACTTACTCCTTTATTTTTTTTTTTAATTTTCAATCGGAAAAAAATTTTTTAAATATTTAAAATATAACAGTTCTATTTGAGCATTCGTAGCGAGAGGTGTATCATTGCATGATTTTTGCGTTATCGTATTCCGTATAGTTTATATCGTTTTTCGTATGTACACCGTTCTTTGATTAAATAATTTCAATATCATAATATGCCATGCGGTAAGTGTAATATCAATATTTCTCCATCTAAATCGGCTATCTGCTTAAACTGTAGTTCAAATTTCCATCCAAAATATAAAAAAAAAAAAAACCTTTACAAACTATAAGGCTGTTAAAGACAGCTGGATTTGCGAACTTTGTACTGAAAAATTATTTTCGATTTCATAAAAAAATTTATTTTTTATGGATTTAAATCAAGCAAAAATAAAGGTACTAGAGTAAATATTATAAGAGGTTCTTCAACTTGTATTGATCATATTTTTTTAAATAATGTTAATGATTTTGACAATATAATTGGGTACGGATATCAAAATAATATAACTGACCGTTATAGTAAAATTCTGTTTTTAAATAAAATCGGTTCAGTTATACAAAATAATAATATTTCTAATTAAGTTCTAATAAATAAGTTTTTTCTAAGTAATGAAAATTGGATTAACATGTTAAACTCGACAAATGTAGACACTGCAGTTTGACTTTTCTTTTCTAAGATACATAATTTTATAAAAATGTGTAAATTAACAATATGTATATGTTTATTTAAATCTTAAATTAAAATCATGAAATGGATTACATCTGGTATAGTAATCTCAAGAAGACGTAGAGACAAACTATTTCATAAATTAAAATAACAATCTTTCAATTCTGAACTTAAAATCAAATATAGAAAATACAGAAACCTATTGATTAAATTTATTAAATGTGCCAGTTTCAACCATAATTATTCTACTCGTCAAAATAGATACAATGTTTTTAGATTAAATACATATAATACGGAATTTGGGAAAAAATATACGTTTAATATAGTTATACATTAATGCATGAAGTTCAATATACCCATTAAACAATTATTATTTTATAATGATTATGAACGTTATAAAAAGTATATGAAGAATAAGATGAAAACTTGTTTTTTATAAACCATCCATACGTTTGTACTGTACTTTAATATTGTGCCTGTCTTACAATTTATTGTTGAATTATTACTTATTAATTCGTATAAACTTAAATTGAATAGTTTGATAAGAATTAAATGTAGTGGTCGGAAAATTGTAAATACTCCTTAAAAAAAGAACTGTCGTTTCCTCCACAAGCCTTGGCTTTTGAAGACAATCATTTAAATAATTTTTATTTGTATAGTGTATGTACCATTTTTTTCTTAAATGCAATAAAGTTAATATTATTATAACACTTCCATCTCAGTACATTGCAATAATCATCATATTATTTCAGGAGAAATTAACAGTTTAAGTCGAACTATTCATAATTGCGTCGCAGTTACCCCACTTCACATTATAATATAAAATAATATATCATTTTATGGAAATTTAAAATGTATCAATAAAGAACAATGAATTAATAGACTAAATAAAAATAAGTTAAATTTATGGAAACATTTTTGAAAAATATTTATTTAAAATTTGAATGTGCTGAAAAAAATTAATATTCAGTTAATTAATACAGTGCAATACATAATTTGAGTTTGGTTCAAATCTGAACATTCAACATCGACTACTGTATTATCTAGGCATAAAGTTATGAAATTTGTGCTGTATTTATGTTTTTAATAAATGCAATTTCCGAACAATGATATAATAATATTCTAAATTAGTACTTACAATTCGACTTCAAAAAATCCATCCATTGTAGAAATGTTTGTGATATTTTTCATAAAAAAATTTCCGTACGTTTTATGATGAATGCTAAAACAGGAGTGAATTATTGAAATAATAATAAACAACACAATAAATCCGTTGCTGTGGACAATTTCGCGAATATTGACTGTCAATAATATTTAAATTTCAACCAAACTCTAAAATATTATTCAGATTTTATTTATTCAGAAGGATTAAACCGTTTTTATATTTTTTCAACCCTTTTTTAGACATTTATTTTATTTAATTAACGTTACCTCAATGTTACACATATTGCAACAAATGCAATTGTTATTATCACAAATAAATGTTTTCCATCAATACTTTCTATAAAATAAAAATATATAATGGCAAATGATAATATCAAAAAAAAAAATAATTAAATAAATAATTTTAAAAGTTCACTAATTCACAAGTGAGCAATTTTCCGACCACAAAATGTTGGCACCCCTAAAAAACTGGCGCCCGGGGAATTGTAACTAGTGCTCCACCCTTAATGCGGCTCTGTGTATATACATAATGAAAAATTATAATAACAAAAAAAAAAGTCAACAGAATTGATTTTAAATAATGTTTATAATGCAATATAAATTACGTTTGTTTATTGTAATTATTTAATTTAATTAAGTAATTACTACAAAATGTAATCATAAAAATGAAAATATTTTAAACGCTTGTCGCAGTTGAGCGTATTTCCTGAAGAAAAAAGTTGGCAAAACATCACTGGTGAAATAAGTTTCCAAGTCAATATATTATATTGTTTTACAAATGTACACAATAAGCGTGCATATGTGAATTATTATTTATTTGCTATATTTGTTCGTTTTTCATACTATAAATAGTGACTAATGAGTTCAGCATTTTTCTTGTACACTTTTTACATAAATCTAGTATTACAATATAATACATTTTATTCAGATATAACAGTAATATTGAAAATAATTCATTCGTCCTCGTTTAGACCGATCAGAGAATTCGCAGCATATATCTATTAATAATAAAATTATAAAATTATACGAATGTACTCATCCAATATATTATTTTAGATTTTTAAGTTTAAGTATTTTATTGGAAATCAATTCAGTTATACATATTCTTCGTCTATATGTTTTCTGGAGAATATGAGATGAAAATGTATTTGAGTAACGAAAATATACAACTATAATTATATTTTATGAACACCGAACATGTGAAAACCAACACAAAATCGTAGAAAATATAATTTATTTTATTGGCTATTATTGGCTCTGAACAACATTGTTTTTGAATATGATGATTTTTTAGTGTTTTCAAATGTATTACAATGCACAATAATACATTACTGTCTTGGTGAGTTATATTGGATGATCGATCCTTCCTCGGTATTTGTATCCCATTTATTATTTTATCTTAAGATCTAAGATGTTTTACGCGCACTGCAGGCCACTGCAGAGTAAAAGGGGTTTACGCACTCGTGTGTGTTCTAAAATGAAAACACCTCAAAATGTTCCCATTATTTATGGAATCCACGCATATTATGCACCTATCCGCAGATATTTAATTATGCCTCTTAGTTAACTAAGTTAAACGTTTTCGAACAATAATTATCGTTATCGATGTAACAATAATGATACAAGTACTCGTTGTATTTTTATTATAATTGCCAAGGAAAAAGATTTTGGTGATCAAAAAATGTACCGAAATTGACTTATGGTCTTCAAACTGAACTCGTACAAAAGATGCCTCTACACAGTTTATGGAATATCTTTCAGAGAATCAACTTTGAGTTTATTTAATATCCTGAGAATGATGGACAGTGTTGAGCATTATCTAGATAAATTATCTAAATAAATTATCTAGATAAATAATTAATTATCTTTTATCTTATCTAGATAATAAAAAAATTAGTTATCTGATGAATTATCTTAGATGAATTCTTGAGTTATCTAATGTAATTTATCTAGATAATTAAATAAATTTATTCGAAAAATAGAACTTGGAAGTTAAAAACTTAAAACCCATGTATATACAATTAATTAACCATTCTTGTGCAAATATATATATATTATAAATACGGGCTACGGCCGAATAGATTGCAACGTTGTGAGTTGTGACATTTTGTAGACCATACTCTACAGACCATATTTATTATTATGGATAATATTAAAATGCGCATAATACACATACTACCTATACAAACAGGCACAATTAAATATATATTATGTAACAATGACATTTTGATTAGCTCACATATAAGTTATAACTAATGTGAATGTCATGTATATTATATTCTTTTGTGTTCAATTCGAAATTTCTTAATATAGGTAATATAAATGAATGCGGATTTCCCGAAGTGGTATTTTAATATAACGATATATAGTTATATTAATAAATCCATATTGATTAAGACTATTACAGTTAAGTACCTACTACCTAGGAATATGATATTTTGTTTCTATGAGTGTGCTGTGTGTATAAATTCAATATAGTATATACCTATATTAGTGCACACTGTACACTGTTTATTATTAAATACGTATATCATATACTATAGTTTTGAAATTGTTGATAAATATAAAAATAATATCCATTCTACGAAAACAATAACAAAATATTAATACATATCTATATTCTTAATAATATCAAATGGTCACAGTACCCATGATAGACGACTAGAAGAGTGACGACAGTGTGAGCGTCAGTCATCAGAGTGTCATTCATTTTTGTTTAGAATTGTGTTTACTGTTTAGTTTCCTAATATTTGATTTGATTTATAATTTTAACATAATGGACAAATTCATTAATCGAAGCACAAAAAAACAAAACAATGTGAGTGAAGACGATCCTGCAGTACACAGTTCGGAAACAATAGAAAAATCAAAATGTTACATATTTAATGGCAAGTTTTTTAAAATAATAAATGTAGAAGACAATGATAAAAATAAAATATTCGCACAGTGTCAAAATTGTCCTAAAATCGTGCATGGTCATAAAGGATCAACTGGAAATTTTTTAAGTCACATTAAGGTAGGTACCTATTTAAATAATAATAATTAATTATCATCGGGGCCTAAAATATATACAATTTCAAGGTACATAGTTATAATACACTTTTAATTCAATTAATATTGTTTACAGATTTCGATAGGTAGGTACTTATAAGTTAAAACACCTGTGTTAGGCTCTGTCTCGGGCTCTGTTAATAATTATTTTCCCCGAATGACTTGAATGTTTTGATTTTTTTAACCAAGGTTTACTAATATATATATATATATACCTACTGCCTTCCTAAAGAGAAATGCAGTATCTCCAAAAACTAAAATATTGGGAAAATAAGTTTTTAGATTTCTTAATTTTACCTTAAAATAATCAGATTTCATTACTTTTTTTCACATTATACGTGAAATCAGTACAATGTGTATTATTATTATTATTTTTTTTTTTGTACTTGATTGATTATTTTGACCTTTTTATTGACTTTTTAGGAGCATTTTACTTTAGTATGACAATTCCTACATAACTAAACAGTTAAATTTTTCAAATGCAGTATCTCTATTACCCTATTTTTAATTTTGTTGTTAATATATTGAATGTTTATGACTTATTAATATATTTAGTATAATGTATAGTATTATTTGAGCATTACATTTTTTTTCTATTGATAATGGATAATATTTGTAATATGAAAAAAAAAATACTGAATTATATTACTTTTTAAATATGTTAATAATCCATTAACTACCATAGAATTTAATTATTTATATTAGCAATTAAAATAATATTGAATTAGGCAACAGCCATATTGATATTTTAATCAAAACAAAATTGTTAGGCTGAAATGGTTAAGCAACATAAAACATAATAAAATAAAGTACTCCTATGTATTTTAATAATTAAAAAAATGTTGAAATTATATCACATTACATTATTTAAATAATTGAATATCAAAA